TGATATTTGATCACCGAAACGTATGGTTATAAAACGACTACTATTTTGTAATATTTTTTTACCCTTGGATCAGGCTCTTACGTGAGATATATAAATTTTATACCTCTGAGTACTATGCGATTCGTCTTAGAAAACTCCGAAATTCAGAATTCAGTCCCGTCACGGACGCCGTAGATGGCGGTTTCCGACGGCGTTCCCGTAACGCCCATGAAGAACACTACTAAACAAATACGTCTTTTACGAGTATTATGATCCTACATAATACTCGTATCCTACATTTCACTGCACTCATTATAGTGGGATTTTTAAAGTTGCAATGGACGGTTTTTTGTTCAAATACGACATGAATAAAAGTTTGCCATAATTTCCGATATCACTTTTATATAAAATACTGGCGGATTACTTTATAATCGTAAAATAATTAAATTAAAAATTAAAAATGTACGTATATACTAAGTGATTTTAATTAATTTTAATAAAAATAATAGCATTTTTAATCTAAAAAACCTAGTTATTTTCAACCAGTGCGAAATCATTACTTTTTTTATTATGCGGTATCAACAATGCCGCATTGTTATCATTATCGCATTTATATCATTGCTATCATCTGCTTTGTTGATACGATAAGTATTTTAAATTGATATACGAGTATCGTTCTTGAGTCGTTACATTATGGGTTTACGATATTAATCAGCAGGATGTATTTCGCCTGGAAAAGAATCGCAAGGTTTTATATCTTACGTTGATAGTAACGTGTAGTTGACGTATGATAAAGTAACGATTTGTTTTAACCTAGGTACCTAAGTTTGAAGTTAGATGTTTACAGATAGGCTTCGTTGAATTTACAATACGTGCGAACATATTGTAAATTTAAAACCTTATGTTTTATGTTTGCCTTAATGTTTATTATTGTACAAAGAAAGCAATTATTCCATAAATTAAATCAATTGTCTATTAATATTTGATAAAGTCTTCCAAACGATATCACGGATGAAAGGAATATTAAATGTTTTTTTTTATCTTACTCTCTTGAAATGTGTAAGTGTTCAGAGTGGTCGTAAGTTAGTTAAGTTGTGTTAAGTAAACGAGAGCTACGAGTACAATGGAACTTCTGAAGATAGCATTGGTGCCGCTGACACTTACTATTGGTCTCACGTACTTAAATATTAAAAAGTAAGTTTATCTATCTTTGTTTCTTCCTTCTCATTGGTATTTTTTGGCCACTGTTGGACATTAAAGTTTCCAAACTTTGCGAATTTGCGAATTTCGAAATTTCGAAATTCCGACACTGGAGACCTAATCCCGGAATTTCGTAACTGGTTCTGAAAATAGTATATATTTAACGGCTTTTGGTTTTTACCTAGTTTCTAGAGTAAGAATGTTTGTATTGCGAAATCGAAGATTTGTAATCTATTTAAGTGGAGAGCTACGCTGCAGCTATCTGGGGGCGCGGCAGTGCCCCCGCCAAGTCCAGCAAAAAAGCGGCACGGCCGTACTATACTTTTCTCGAAGCAATTCAGGCCATTTTCGACCCCCTATAACTTCGTAGTGGATAAAACTAAAAGCCATTGTATAAACATGGTATATTTCAAAAGTAGTTTAATAGTTATAACTTGTCAAAGTTTATTAATTTTGTCACTCACTGACTGACCGATCATCAAAACTCTAAGGCACTTCTAGCAGACATAGAAGCTTCAAACTTAGAATGCAATTAGGGTTTAGTATATAAATCAAGGAAAAACTAAAATATTTTTTTTAATTTTGGTCCAGTTTTCTAGATACACCAACTGCATAAATAACTTTGTAATATCATATAAATGTATAGAATTACAAAGTTACATTTGCAGTGAATGAATCAGTGTACTTGTATATGTTTAATAGGTGTAGATAGGTACGTCGTTGGTATTCAAGAAGTAGAACTAAGTCAAATAAGTGTAATACCAAGTCGGTTAATTTATTCAGTCCCTACTTAAGGGTCCTTCTGTTTTAAGTTATTATGTAATTAGCTAACATAACATTTTATAGTGACCATATCAATGTTAAAAATCTTTTATGTTTTAAATATATAGATTGACTTGGCAATCGCACTAAGCGATCTAATTTAAAATAATATGTATTACTTGTGAGATACATTGCGTTTTCATGCGATGGCCAAGCCAATCTATATATTTAAAACATACAAGATTTTTAACATTGTTATGCTAGCTTTACATAGCTGTGGTACGAATGGGTCGGCTCGACCGGGGTAGGAAACAGCAGGATAAAGCTGGTGCGTTTCATGTGGTGAATATAGAGAAATGGTTACACGTTTTGCTGATAGCGAGACATTCCATCTTAGTCCTCAGTGGTGACAACACATACTCATTTTAAGGAATCATAGCATCCACTTACCATCACGTGGACCCCACCCTCATTCTATGAAAGAAATATTACATTTATATTTACTGATATACAATATTTCAATCAAACTTATCCACATCTGACTTGCGATCTCTTGATTCTAAAACTGTGCGTATTTATACTAACATCTGAAATCAAACATTATTTTTGTCATTGTTCTCTCTGTTAATTAGACATTTAAACAGTAGAATATCAAAAAGTTTTCTTACATTAAATATGAATCAAAACACTCTGATTACAGAGAGAAAGTGTTCTATAATCTACGAAAGAAACATAAAACAAATATAAACACACATGTGGAAAGTTTCATAAGCTTTAGGTGTAACTGAATTTAAAAAAGATATTTAAACCAAATAATACAATCACTCAATGTGTAAAATTTTTGAATATCGCAACAATAAAAACAATACTTCTGGTTCCAGAATCGAAATATCAATATATTTGTTCCAAAATTCTTATTTAGAATGCATTTCACAACCATCTATGACGTTTTCACACTAGTAAAAATAATTGCATATTGTCGTTAATTTAGACTTAAGTAAATGCATTGATTAACCCCATTATTCCGTGGGTGTCGTGATATGCGACAGGGGAAAAGGAAGCAGAAGATGGGCGGTGGCATCTTCCTCAACTCAAAATAATAAATAAACTATTGAAGCCTAAGTCTAGCAGGAGATTTTACAATATATCACCACCAGCTAATTACCTGAAGTTCCTCTGCTTATCAGCCCGTCATCATGATACACGAGCGATTGAAATTTAACATTAAAATAAAATGGATTATTTACACGTCGTAGAGCCATCCTGCAGCTATATAGTTGTAGCACGAATGGGTCCAAAAATAATGTTTGGTTTCCAACCAATTGATCGTTTTCTAGATTGCCCACAAAGACCACACTCTTAAAGGATATCAGTGTAAATTAGCAAGTTAATGCTACTGTGTTTTGAATGCTGAGTGTAGAAAACCGGAGACCCTTTTACTGGAAACAAGGCATCTTTGTGCTCAGAGGCGACAATGCATCTGAATTTTGATTCTTAATAGAGATTGAATATGTCTGGCCCACAGCATTCATTTACCAGCAGGTGAATTGTGTGGCGGTTTGTCACTTTTATTTATGATGTAAAAAATCCCTTACATAATATGTATGTACGGATATCACCATCTTTATAATGAAGAAATGTACGCTTCGCTACATGAATGCGATATTTAATTTTTATTTTATTTTTAAATTAAAATTGGACGTTCTTACACAAAAAAGATCCAAAACTTCAGAAACCCAAAGCCAACCAAAAACTACTTTATACATATTAACTTTGGATCGGTAATATAGTGATATAGACTTGCTTTTGTAATTTTCTCTAGTTGTTATCGACTTATAACAACTTATTTTTATATTACTGACGTTTTGAGTACTTTACAACACGCATGATTAATATACGCGACAAAACCCGTAAAACTGGTTTCATTTAAACATAAGAAATCATTACAGCAAATAGGGGATCTCCTCGTATTGAACCCCCATAACTCATAAGGAAACTCACCATATTACAATAGCCTATTTACTCTAGATTTTTTTATAGAAGAGGGGGCAAACGAGCATGCGGCTCACCTGATGTTAAGTGATTACCGCCGCCCATGATCAACCGCAACACCAGGGGAATTGCAGGTGCGTTGCCGGCCCTTTAGAAAGGAGTAAGCTCTTTTCTTGAAGGTTCCCAGGTCGTATCGGTCCAGAAAAATCGCCGGTGGTAAACTATTCCACAGAAAGGTTGTACGCGGAAGAAAACTCCTTTTGAAACGTACAGTGGTGGACCGCCAAGCATCCAGATGGTGTGGATGGTATCGGGACGTTTGCCGCGTAGTGCGTTCATGAAATTTGGCGGCTGCGATTAATCCGAACAATTCCTCAGAGCACTTAGATTTCAAGATTATTATTTCAATTCTCTACTGTCTGAATCACGTCAGGCATTTCCTATGCACACTCCGAAGTATGTCCTGTAGAATATCACAAAGCTAGCTACTTTGTGTCTGTGCTCGAGACTAGTAAGATTAGCTTTAACCAGTTTTGGGTCAATATAAGCCTTTGTATTAAATCCAGCTGGCATTTTGCAGCACCTTCCATTTACCCATAGCAGTAATACTCTATGCACGACCGGGCTTGCACTTTATATAGTGTAAACAGTTGTCGGCGTTGTGTCCCATCTTTGCAAAGAATGTTAACTTTCTTGCATCTGCTTTAACCTCAATGAACCGCCCAAAGTTCAGGTTTGAGGAAATTTTTACCCCCAATAACTAAAGACAGCGTTTATGAAGTTAGTGTTTTTGTTAATTTGTTTTATAAAAATCGTTACCCCTACACTAGGATTTTCTCCTGTATCGTGGGGGCAGTTTACAAACATAAATTGCACAAGGACAAACATCCAGACCCGGAACAATTATCTGTAGGCTATACAAATACTTGTTCCGTGCGGGATTCGAACCCGTGACCCCCAGCGCAGCCACTCATTGCTAAGCCACTACGCCACGAAGTCGTCCGTCGTCGTTTTTGTCAAATGTGTTTTGTTAATTTATTTAAGGCGCAAAATTGTTTGTCCCATAGGAACGCTTACAGTAGAAGAGGTGTACAGAGACCGAGATCAGTTTGCGGGTCTTGTGCGCGAGGTGGCGGCGCCCGACGTCGGCCGGATGGGCATCGAGATCCTGTCCTTCACGATCAAGGACGTGTACGATGACGTCCAGTACTTGGCCAGCTTGGGCAAGGCGCAGACGGCGGTAGTGAAGCGTGATGCGAACATTGGCGTAGCTCAGGCTAACAGGGACGCTGGAATCAGGGTTTGTACAATGTTTTTTATAATTCTGTTTAACTCTACTATATCAAGGGTAATCGCTATAAATTTCGTAGTTTACAAACAAGCTAACTCAGTAAAATCTTTACCGGCGGCACTATATGAATTGTAAGTCGCATATTAAGTGTCATTTAACCACGTGCTTGAAGGTGAACGAAAATATTACTTTGAAGTTATCTTGAAGGTGAACGAAAATATTGAGAGAAAATCCACATACTTGAGTATGAGAATATTTGGGCGAAATTTTAAGTCCATTAACACTCTCTGGAGTAATTTGGTCCCTTTTTTGCTGCACAAACCTCTCATTAGTGAAAGGAGGCTTATTCAGAAGGCTTTTATAGCTTTTGCAAACTTTATATACTGGTAACGTATGCGGACCGTGTACGACAAACATTAAAAACATCAACGCCAGAAAATTGTAAATTGGATTTAGTATAATAGTAATACATAACACACACATATAAAGTTGTGCATATAATGTAGTTTTTTTTATAAAATTTCAATAATTTGTAACTTTCTTTTAATTTTAAGATTTCATTGCAATGTTGGTATGAAATCGTAAATTAAAAAAAAACTTTGAACACTATGTTTAAATAACGCTTATTTCAGGAAGCGGAATGCGAGAAGAGCGCTATGGATGTGAAGTATGCAACGGACACCAAAATAGAGGACAACAATAGGATGTACAAACTGCAGAAGGCCCAGTTCGATCAAGAAATAAATACAGCTGTAAGTTTTATTTACTATGCAGATCAGTTGCCACTTGCGTTATACGCAGTGTGAGCATTTCGTTTACTTTAGAAACGAAATGATGATTAAACTACCATCTATTGGAAGCATTAAGCTATTTCTGACTTTTTCGCCACCTGAAATATTTTATGTACATATATATAGTATATTGCATATAAATGAACACAGCAACACCAGGGGAATTGCAGATGCGTTGTCGGCCTTTTAAAAAGGAGTAGGCTCTTTTCTTGAATGTCCCTAAGTCGTATCGGTCTGGAAAAACCTCAATTTTACTGTTTTGATGTTAGTTTATTGGAGCAAGCTATTTGGTCTCAGGAATTTTCTACATAAATTTTTAGAATTATCGATTTCTGTATAGGTAAGATTATTACATGCAATGTTTTTGTTTTTATAGAAAGCTGAGTCTGCTCTTGCATATGAGCTTCAAGCTGCTAAGATTAAGCAAAAGATCCGAAACGAAGAGATAATGATTGAAGTCGTTGAAAGACGCAAGCAAATTGAGGTATTCCTTTTGTACTACTGTATTTTGCGTACTCCACTAATTTTATAATATCATAAAAATTGATTTAACTGATGGGAAAACGGATTTAAATTCTCAGTTTTTTGTTAGGTGGAGCAACAGGAAATTCTACGTCGCGAAGAAGAACTAATGTCCACGGTGCGACTACCGGCTGAAGCAGAGGCATATCGTCTGCAAGCTATTGCTGAGGGAAAACGGTACTTAATAATTATTAATAATTACAACTTGTTAGTAAAAGGTAAAAAACATTGTACATGAAATTAACTAGTAACGTCCAGTAACTACTAAAGTAAAGGTCTGACTGAACTAATAACTGAAAAATGCTGAACAATGAACAAAAATTATAACATAACTATATAGTCTGTCTGTTAAGATAATGTCAGTACACCCGGAGGCGCATTTATGATTTTGCTTTTATTTTATTATTTTTATTGTGTTTGTTAATTTTTTATATCTTAATAATAAAATAGAATACTATTTCATACCTATGGTTATTGAAATAAATACGAATATAAATGATAAACACAAGTTAGGTCGCAAAAACTCTTTCCTTATGGCGCTTCGTTTTAAAATGCCAAATTCTCGTGCGGATGTACGCCACACGCGACGGCCTTTGATGTCGCAGCGACGCCTTTGACATGATGCGGCACGTGCGAAGGCGGCGCGACATAAAGGCGACCGTATCTTATGGCGGCTTCTCACTGAGTGTGTTATCACGCGCCGCGCCGCCCATGTTGATTTGCACGCGCAAGCACGAGCCACGCGCGAGCCCCGCACCACCCGTTTTGACACTGAGTCAGTCTGTTTAGCGCAGCGCACCTGATGTCGTGTGAATCAAATTGCCACCTCCAGCCATGGAGCAACGCCACTGAAGAAGAAGGCATCGCTGTTGCTTCAGTCGCTTTTGTCTTATTTTGTGGATATCATTTACTTAATAAAATTAACAAAAAAAAACAAGAAGAGGCGCTGGTGGATGACATCGTTAAAATTAAAAATTCAGCAGTCGTCTCATTAGACCACTCCATATCTATATAGACATGAGAGTACCTCAACGTCGGACGAGTTAAGACGAAATGAACGAGTTCAATCTTGTAAGCACACTCCGAACGCTCGCCCGCGCACCGACTCGCCCGCGCTGTGCCACGCCGTGCCTTTGAAGTTATCGATTTTAAACGGATGGCACGCGCCGCGCCACGCCTGTCCGCGCCAAACCCTTCACACTGAGCGTGGCGCGTGGGGGCGCGGCGCGGCGCGTGATAACACACGCAGTGAGAAGCCGGCTTTATCGAACAGAGTACACTATACTATATCCTAGGGAACATAATTTTTTTATAGAAAAGGGGCAAACCAGCATACGGCTCACCCAATGGTAAGTAACTACCGCCGCTTATAAACAACCGCAACACCAGAGGGATTGCAGGTGCGTTGCCGTCCTTTTAGAAAGGAGTAAGCTCTTTTATTGAAGGTCCCTTAGTTGTATCGGCCCGGAAAAAGCGCCGGTGGTAAACAATTCAACAGGGTAGTTGTACGAGGAAGAAAACTCCTAGTAAAACGCACAGTGGTAGACCGCCAAGAATCCAGATGGTGGGGATGGTATCGTGTCGTAATTACGATGCGATGTGCGTTCGTGAAATTTGGCGGCTGCAATTAATTCGAACAATTACTCAGAGCACTCTCGTGAGAGATGCGATAGAAAATGCAACATCCCTACGCAGCGCCAGTGAATTAAGCCGATCACAAAGAACTCAGTCTTCGACGATTCGAACCACTTTGCGCTGAATGCGGTCAAGTCAAAGGAGCTGGGGTGCTCCGGTCCAGAGATGAGAACAGTATTCTATGAGAGGTCGAACTTGCGGTTTGTAAAATTGCAAGCAATGTGCCGGCACGAAATACCACTGTCCAAAATTATTAAAAATATAATTAAAACAATTGAAATTTCAATACAAATCAGCTAAAGGACATAATAATTATTGATTTTAAGCCTTACCATTTTTTAAATATTTAGAGTTTGATTTTGATATATATTTTATTATGAAATATGTATTTTTTTCTTACTAAAAATTGGCCATCTATCAGAAGCTGATAGATTCCTTGACGCGGTCCTAACATAGCAGAATTACTATTACAGAGGTGGTCAAAAGTCACAACACAAACAATAAAAGACAAAGCAAGAAAGACGTGGTTTTATACGTTTTATACGTGGTAGAGCCATGCTATTAGTAGTATAGTTGTAGCACGAATGGGTCGGCTCGACCGGGGAAGGACCACGCTCTCACAGAATACCAGCGTGAAATAGTAGCTTAATGCTGCTGTATTTCGTATGGTGAGTGTAGAGAACCGGAGACCCTTTTTACTGGAAATGAGGCATTCCATCTCAGTCCTCACGGGTGACAGCGCATCTGCATTTTGATTTGTAATGGAAGATAGATGTAGATGTCTATGGGCCGCAGCAACCACTTACCATCAGGTGGACTGTGTGCTCGTTTGTCACCCTATCCTATAAAAAAAAAAAAAAAAAAAAGACGCGACAGTAATATTTATGGGGCTGCTAACTTGAATGTGAGATTATCAATTCACCATTTGACTGCTAACGTAAATCAATCCTACGAGTAGCACAATCATTTTATTTCACTTGGAGTGTTTATTGGAAATATTTATTCATTTATTCACTACAATTTCTCAAAACTCCACTGCTAGAAACATCGGTCTTCTCCATAGATTGCCTCATGTGTTTTAATTTTAATAAAATGCTTTAAGCAAGCTACGTATCACCGGAACAAATGCATTTGATTTGTCCATATTTCTCAATAATTTAATATTGGACTGTGTTGGCTGGACAACACTCGTAATTTGGACCTTAATAAACTGTGATGTTTGGACAAAGGTTAGCATTTTGTTATCTTATTCCCTCTATATGTATACCTGTTGACAAGTGGATACCGCAGGCCCTGGATACCTGCAGGCAACGTCAAACAAAGAACTCAGTTTACAGATGCGTTTTCACCTTTGAATTTTTATATTATTACACATTTAAATATTATTCTAAATTTGAATAGCAAACTTTTTTCTTTTTTTTTTCAGCACTCAAACTGTGGAAGCGGCTAAAGCAGATGCAGAGCGCATTAAGGTGCTTGGTTTGGCTGAAGCCAACGCTATTGGTGACGTTGGTAAGGCTGACGCCGAGCGTATGCTTGCTAAAGCCAAAGTGTATAAACAGTACGGAGATGCCGCTATGATGGCACTTGTACTCGAAGCTTTGCCTAAGGTACTCAATATTATTTTTTATATCCACCTATCGATTAAAATTAAAGTAATAGAGTTCTATCACTCGTTAAGAATAATTTAAGTTTTCTCATACGACAAGACTATGGACTAGTTTTAAAGTATATCAAACCAGAAGATTTGTTGCAATTTTCCGAAGGAAGCCGGACCTTGTACTGGCAAGCGGGGTTATTCCGTTTATCCACGCTAAGAAATCCACCCTGGGGTGGATACTCGGAATCTCGTGTTCGTTTATCCACCCCAGACGGGTGGGTTATCGTAATTTGTATATTATTTTTCTTCCGATTTTCCCCCTGGGCTGCGTACAGTCGTTTATAAAAACGTGAAGAAACTGCCCCAAGATTACTTAGTAGACATTAAAATACTTATAAAAATACATACATTCTTCTTGTTTAAAGATCAAAACTGAAATAATTTTGTTTAATTACATAATATCATTCGTTGTGACAATTTATGGCATTTTGAAGATATCATAAGATGAAAGAAATGTTTTACTGCAGTTAATTTCAATTATATTTTTTGTTAAAGTGGGCATTTTAATTAAATATATAATTACGTGTCACGTTGTTTGTCCGCGATGGACTTCAAAACTACTTAACCGATTTTAATCAAATTTGCACACTGTCTGCAGTTTGATTCAACTTGAGAGATAGAAAATTTTGCCAAGAGATTTTTAATAGGACATGACAAATTGTCGTCGAAAGGGGCAGAACAACGTCTGCCTGGCAAGCTTAGATAGTTTAATTATATAAACACAGATATTGTAGATTTTATAAATTACTTATTGTTATTTAAAACAAGGAAGTCTAATTGGGTTTAAATGCAATAGGTAATATGATTTTTGTTTAAGTTTGTGGCTATTAAAAATTTTTCAATAATATGTTAAAATATGAATGTATTTTCTGTTGAAGTGTACTTCGGGTGGAAAGGCGGAACAATAATCAAAAAGTTAATTTCGATTATTCACCCCGTCTAGGGTGAATAACCGAACACGCGTTTCCGAGTATCCACCCTAGGATGGATTTCTTAGGGTGGATGAACGGAATAACACGGCAAGCGCAGTGTTGGGTAATCTCCTGTTAGATAGAGTGAATCGATGGATGCGGTTGCTCGGGGTCGTGATTTGTTCCATCTATGGGTGAGGCCTATGTGTAGAAATGAACTTGTGATGGGTTGTAATGATGATGAGGATGAACGTAGTTTTGGTAAAATGTTACTTCGAATCCTTATACATTTCATAATATGCATACTCAAGATAGATATATGTATATAGAGAGAATAGTACCTATAACAATTCGGAAAATCTGCCGTAATATGAGTTTACTATCATTTAATTTTAAACGTGATGGAACCACGCTGCTATATTATGTATCGCGAATAGTTCGGCTCGACCGGTGAATGACCACGCCCTCACAGAGTACCGGCGTGAAATAGTAGCTTAGTGCTTCTGTGTTTCCTATTGTTAGTGTAGACAACTGGAGACCCTTTTTAGGCATTGAATCATATTATGGCCAAAGAACTGGCTGCATACAAAATGTTCGCATCATGTACACGGTTGAATCGTATTAAAAAGAAACCCTTGGTGTAGTCGAACATAAATTTACCTGTCTGCCATCGCGATTCTCTTCGTCTAATAGTCTTCAAGGGTGACAACATATCTGCGTTCTGTTTTATAATTGAGGATAAATATAGATATCTATGGGCCACAGCATCCACTTACCATCAGGTGGAATTTAAAAAAAAAAACTTCAACTTTATTTATGAGTGTCTTTGATTTGCTACAAGATTTGCTTTAATATTATAATTCTATGTAAGTGTTTCTAAAATTAAAACTGTTGCTTATTTGTATCGAAAGATCGCGGCAGAAGTGTCGGCGCCACTGGCCAAGACCGACGAAATAGTCCTGGTCGGGGACAATGGTGCTACTGGAGAGGTGGCCCGGTTGGCCGGTGGAATACCACCGGCTCTTAAGTCTCTCACCGGCCTGGACATTAACCAGGTGCTGAAGCGCTTGCACCCCAACAGCGCGGGAGGTAAGGATTATTATCTTTTAAAAAGTTTCAATGCTTTTCTTTATTTTTAGCTTTCATAAGAATGACCAGCATTTAGTTATTTAATTAAAATATTAAGGTAAAATATTATTTTCCCATACATAAAGTCTCGAGTGGCAGCCTCGTACCGGTAGGCGAAGTGCAGGGCGACCCCCCACTAGATGGAGTGAAGAACTGGTAAAACATGCAGGAAGTCGATGGATGCAGGTGGCTCAGTACCGTGCTTTGTGGCATAACTTGGGGGAGGCCTATGATCGGTAGTGAACTTGTGAAGGGCTGTAATGATGATGATACATAAAATACTATTATAAAAAAGTTAAAAAGTAAAGTTACAGCCTATATACGTCCCACTGCTGGGTACAGGCCTCCCCTCATTTCTGAGAGGGTTTTAGGGCAAGGAAAGGCGTTGGCAAACTTTACATGTCTTCGAAATATTTTTTTTTCTTATTCCTCAGACATGTAGGTTTCCTCACGATGTTTTCCTTCACCGCCGAGCACGTGGTAAATCAGCACTTAAAATTGCAATTTTACATTAGATTGAATATTTTACCTACATTATAAATAGTATTATAATGTAGGTAAAATATTCGAATTAAACATTGCTACTAAGAATGAATATTTTATGCATCGGTTAATTAACAAAAAACGCGCTTCATATTATATTAATTTTTAATCATTCATTATCCTTTTAAATTATATAAATAATTTTTTTCACCTGCTACTTGTTAAAACAGTTTAAAACGAAAAAAATTAAATGCTTTTTTATTTACGCGAACACTACTGAATCAAAATAATTGTTTTATACATTTCATTTTAAATCTACATTCCTTAACTAAAAGTTCCATTATATTAGTAAAATATTTTATATCTACGCCAAGATGATTTGATTGATCTCAATTGTTTTATCGATATAATTGTTTCACACAATTTTTTTTTAATCTAGATTCTTTAATCCGCCGTCATCTCCATACAGATTTGACGTTAAAAATTGGAACATTCGACTTGGTTTAATTAGTTTTGGAATTAATTTTTTGAGATTATTGTGTGGGGTTATAATTAAAAACTCCTCAGCACCATTATTCTTGTTCAATTTTATTTAACATTGATCTCTGGATAAATGCTTCAAAATAACTATCCTAGGGCTGCCAACCGTCCTGTTTTCTCAGGACATGTCCTAGTTTTTGTAGTGTACTGGGATGTCCTGGATAGATTTTAAGCAGCATCCTGGGTTTTGAAAGCGCTCTGATAAGGTCATGTATTTTAAAATTCAAAGAATCAAATGGAAAGCGAACCGACAGCGTTATCGATTAAATATAAAAAGCGTAGTTATATATAAAAATCGAAAACGAACCGATACTTGCATACATAGTACATACATTTGCCGCCCTTTCGGTTCGGTTCAGTTCGCAGTTAACAAGGTCTATACTGCGTCCTGTTTTTAAACTGTATTGTCCTGGTTTCAACTTCAAATCCTAATTTTTTAAATTTTCGTTTGGCAACTCTAGCTTAAGGTAACCGTCGTAAATTCGAAAGTATCGCTGAGAAAAATGGTAGAAGAAATTTAGGTTATCAGAAAGACTTAAAGATTTTCATGCATTTTTATTAGGAAGGAGACACGGAATGTCAATTATATATTTCTAGAAACAAAATTAATTATCAAAGACAAATCTGGGAAGTGTTTTCATCATTGTTTTCGTTCAAATATAGCACCGTCGGGAAGTAAGATTGAGAATAAAGCCGTTATTCTAATCTTTAAAATGTTAACTAAGTATATTGTGAAGTGTCTGCTCTCGATTGTAAGAATCGATATGCAAAACATCGAAGACAAGATGTCGAACCATAGGTCGTTTTTAACATTGTCCTTTTTTTGTTGCCATGTAATTTATGTTATCTGTATTTTTCTTGTGAATGGTTTCTTATTTTTTTAATGTTTAATCTTTATCGTTGTTCTAACTGATTAAGTCTAAATGTGTTGTTTTGTCTGTGTCTGATTCATTTTGTCCACAGATGAATCTTCTCTTGTCGCAACTGCTAGCAAGAAGAAGGAGGTGGCAGCATGCTAATCTGTTAAGCGTCTCACAGTCTACTTACTCTTCTATTTTAACGGTGCCATACATTTTAGAAATCGGAAAATACTATTTTTAAATTTGAAGTGTCATTTTATAACACCGGTATGCTATTTTAAATTTGACGATGTCTTATAGTTTAAAATTACTACTTAATTGAGACTAAGGTACAATAATGAAATTATATTAATGTGTATTTTGATAGGTTTGATATTATTGGACGTACAATAATTTTAGGAAACATGAATGAATCTACTTAAAAATTGTGTAACATTGAAATTTGAAATAAAAATAATTGAAATGAATTTATAAAGTCGTGAGTAAAACACCGACCGATTGCATATTTTCATAGATATAAAAAAAGAAGTTTGTTATATTTCTATGCCCATTTCATATACTTATAAGAACCGTCACAATATAAGTAAAATACCAAAAGCTGGTAAAATATATAAAAAACCTGTGAAAGTGAATCAATTAAAACTAATTAATAAAGTGTATTTATCCAGATGAAGGTAAATTATAAGGAAATTTTGTATTTAGATCTTGACTAACGTAGATTTTGTACTATTTAGCTAAATATTTTTTTAGAGTGGTTCAATCTATAACACTGCCCTTTATTGTAGAATGAAACCCTTTACAATGTTGGTACCAATACGGATAATAATTTTTGATTAGTTGGTGTTTAACCATTTCTAGAGTCAATATCTCTTGTGATTTGTATTCTTGTGTGGAGTTTGAAGTAGATAAAAAAATACATTATAATACTTATTTTACTATACAAGTGTTGTAATTCAAAACTTATAGTTTCCACCGTCTTGATAACTTCTAACATAATATGTAGAAACTTGCATTTATACATCACGCACATTTTTTATTATTGTAATTGCATTATTTTTTATTTTAATTATATTTGACATTTTGTATACGTAATGCAATATAATTATATATTATTTGGAACAATAAAGTTTGGCAAGTAATAAACGGTCTTCTTATTCTTACTTGTCCTGTCTGCTTTTTATAGAATTAGGGTGCCAAACGCGCACACAGTTCCTCCTAATGGTGAAAATTCATTTGCGTGTCACCCCTGAGGACTGAGACAGTATGCCACATTCTCTGTCTCTGTCATACTCACCATACGAAACACAGCAACATTAATCTGCTATTTTCGCTGGTAATCTGCGAAAGCGTGGTGCTGCGCCGGTTGAGCCGACCGATTCGTGCTACGAACATAATATATCTGTAGCATGGCTCTATCACGTTTTGACTTTACGATAGGTTTTAGTGTTTTATTTAGAAATCATCGACTTGGTCTAAATCGGTCTAGAGAATGTCACCATGTAATTGCATATTTTTCTATATTGTTACTTTAGAGTAATTACATACATACGTAATTGTTATCCTCTTAAAATGATTACGAAGGGCCAACTTAACACGTTTGACATTCCTTCCCATTTAATTTAAATATTGTACCTACTTTTTTTAATTTTTGACATGTGCGATTTTGTTCGTCTGATAGCCTGATAATTTTCGCCTTGAATTATGTATAAAAAATTATATAAAAATAAATCAGTTTTATATTTTATAAATAACCCACCGACGTTTTTGTAGAAATTGAACTATTTTTGACATATAATAATTGTTTTTGCCATGAAGAACATGACGAATGAACATTGCCTCATATGTTTTGCCGTTAACGTTGCCTTTTTTTTAGGTTATGTACCTAGGCTGCACTAAAAGTATCGGGAATGGAATATTTGCACTGTTCCTGTCATATTAAAATCTTTTTAATTGAAAACTCCTTGGTTTTAAAAATCGAATACCATTTATTTCTTTAAAAAAAAGATTCTCGGTCTTGTCACAAGGTTTTGTCAAACTTGTTTAGTCGTTGAGAAAAAAATGGAATTGACTCGAGAAAATTCAAGAGCGATGATTTATTATGAAAGTGGTTTAACACAAAAA